TCACAAAAGAAAAAGTGAATCGAACTGAAATCAATCCAAACTATCCTTATTCTTTAGATTCAATAATGTGGCAGAGCACGAGGGCATTTTCATTCATCTTGGAATCCAGTGGCAACTTCTCCAACACGTAAATCTGAGACTGGATCAATGTATCAGTCAAGTTGATTCAAACTTCAGCCTAGTAACTGGTAAGACCATTTTGGATCTGCAGATCAAATGCATGCTTGTTTCTTGGTACCTTTACAAATGAAGTTAAGGTATTTAAGATAGCCTTACCATAATGAGTGACATTGCCATTTATTAATTAAATTACAAATTCAACAACTACACAGTATGTCGCTACTAAGGTTTCAGTGATATTTTTATCCCACTCTTCTTCCAAGGAACATAATGCAGCTAACAGGGTTCTTTTCCCTTTCTTTATCCTCACAAGGCTGGGATACGTTCAGCTGAAAGCAAGACAAATTCAAGATTCTCATGAATTTTACATGGCGGACTATGGAATTGAAATCTTGGCTCCACACTCTTGGTCTACAACCCTAACAGCTACTCCATATTTTTAAAACAGTAGTATATTAAGTCCAAGCCATTTAAATGGATTAACAATTCCAATTCTAATAAAAACAAAAGTTTCCCAATCAAAATAAGTGGTTTTGAAGTAAACATCTACATTTCCTTTTTAGTGAAAGTAGCTATAATGATGGCTAAAACTCACATTTTCATCCCTATTTTACTGATCATAGTCCTTATGCTGGCTTCTTCTTTTAAAAAGGAAACTCAAGATTAAAAAAACCGGAGTTCTTTAAAATACAATATAAAAGATATTAATGGGATATTACTAGAATATAAGCATTGCAACATCTGAACATCTGGACAAATGATTAGAGCAATAAATTCCCATTAAAAATGAAAGACTGAAGTTGTGTATTATTTTTTTTTGCAAAAAAAAACCCCTTCAGAGGTTTTTTTTTTTTTTTTATTGAAATTTTTCAAAAGTTTTACAAATAAGAATCCACCCCCCCCTCCCCAACCACCCCACCCCCCCCCCGACTTCCCAGAACTGAATATAGGATTATTTAACAAATATTTTAAAAATAACATTTGCAATTTATAAAATAATTAATAATAATAATAAAAATCACAGTAATAATATATATAATAATAATATACATAACATAAACTTTAAAATGAATAATATATACTAAAAAAGAAAAAAAAGAAATAAAAAAGAAGAGAGAGAGAGAAAGAAGAAAGAAGAAAGTAGACGAAGAATAAAGCATATATATATAAAAAAAAAAAAATATATGAATAATAATACGTAAAAAATGTATATATATAAAAAAGAAAAAGAAGAAAGAAAGAAAGAAAAAACAATCATTACAAATTATAAAAAGGCTAAATAATATTTTTCCATATCCAAATTATGTTGTATAAAATTTATCCATTTTTCCCATACCGCAAAAAATTTTTCTTGAGATTGCTCCTTTAAGAAAGCCGAAATCTTTGCCATTTCTGCCAAATACGAAACTTTATGAAACCATTCTTGTAAAGTAGGCAAAGATTCCTTCTTCCAATATTGTCCTATTAACAACCTAGCGGCTGTAATCAAATTTAACATCAATATAACCTCCTTAGCATCACAGTCAATAACAATACCTAGTAAAAATAATTGCGGAGTAAATTTTACCCTCCTTTTAAAAATTCTTTGAATATTCCACCATATCTTAATCCAAAAAGCTTTTATATGCTTACACGTCCACCAAATATGGTAATAGGTAGCATCCAAATATCCACATCTCCAGCATTTCGGCTGTAGATTAGGGTACATAATGGACATTTTCTTTGGGTCAAGGTGCCATCTATAAAACATCTTATAAAAATTCTCTCTTAAATTTTGCGCTTGTGTGAATTTAACATTTCTTATCCAAATAAGTTCCCAAGTATCCATTGAAATCGTTTCACCAATATTCTGTGCCCATTTAATCATACAATCTTTAACTAGTTCAGGTTCTGAATCTAATTCCACTAAAACCCCATAAACTCTCTTAATATGGGTTGGCCTTTGATCTCTTACTTGTTTTAAAAAAATTTCATCTTCTCTAAGCCAGCCCGTTTTACAATCCATCTTCCATCTATCCACTATTTGTCTATATTGGAACCATGAATAAGTTAAATTTTCATGTGTTAATTCTTCCAAAGATTTTAACTGCCAGTCTTGGCCATCCCATCTTAGTAACTGTACGTAAGAGACCTTGTCCATATTTACCCCTTTCCTTATACCTTCTATGGCATGCCGAGGTATAGCCCATAATGGTATTTTGAAGTCACTTTTATAATACTTTCTCCACACTCTTAGCAAAGAGTTTCTTATAATATGAGACTTAAAAACCCAATCCACTTTTTTATTAAATATTAAATAGGCATGCCATCCAAAAAATAGGTCCCAGCCTTCCAAATGAAGTATTTCTGTATTTGTTAAATTCACCCAGTCGCTAATCAATGTCAATACTACAGCATCATAATACAATTTCATATTTGGTACCTTGAGTCCACCTCTCTCACGAAAATCTTGCATTATTTTAAGTTTCACCCTTGGTTTTTTCCCTGCCCAAACAAATTTATTAATACCTTTTTGCCATTCATCTAAATTACGTTCGTTCTTTAAAATAGGTAACATTTGAAACAAAAAAATAAACTTTGGCAGGACATTCATTTTAATAACTGCAATTCTGCCCATAAGGGATAACTGTAAATTATTCCAGTTTTTTAAATCCTTCTGTACCTCCATCCACAGCTTTTCATAATTATTTTTATACAATTTTACATTAGAAGCAGATAATGTAACCCCCAAATATTTTACCTTATCAACAATTTCAAAGTCTGTTAAGTTAACTAAAGCCTGTTTATCACCATTAGTCATATTTTTAGCTAATATTTTGGTCTTATTATTATTAATTTTAAAGCCAGAAACACGTCCATATTGTTGAATCAATTGTAATAATTTCACCACCGAAGAAACAGGTTGAGACAAAGTAACAACCAAGTCATCTGCAAAGGCTCTTAATTTATATTCTTTTTTATTAATTTCTATTCCTTTTATTTCTTGAGACTCCCGAATTTTAATCAACAAAATTTCCAGTGTTAAAACAAACAATAACGGAGACAACGGGCATCCCTGTCTTGTTCCTTTTTCTATTACAAAAGCCTCTGACAAACCCCCATTTACAATAATTTGAGCAGTCTGTTTTTGATATATATTGGATAATACTTGTAATATATTTTGTCCAAAATTCATCTCCTTAATTAAACACAGCATAAACTGCCAATTCACTTGGTCAAAGGCTTTTTCAGCATCCAAAAATATCAGGCCTGCAGAGACTTGGTTATTCTTTTCTAAATACTCTAATAAATTAATAATTTGTCTAACGTTATTCTTCATATACCTTCCAGTTATAAAACCCGATTGATCCCTATGTATAAACTGCTGCAAGATCCCCATAAGCCTGTTAGCTAAAATTTTTGCAAAAATTTTATAATCCACATTTAAAAGAGATATAGGCCTATAATTTTTAGGCAAAGTAAGATCTTGACTATCTTTTGGAATCAATGATATAAATGCATTACGCCAGGATGGAGGGATCTCTAACCCCTGTAATAAATTATTAAACAGTTCACACAACGGTTGAATCATCTCTTCTACTAAAGCTTTATAATAAATAGATGTCAACCCATCCGTACCCGGCGCTTTGCCCAATTTCAGTTGTTTAATAGCTGTAACAATTTCTTCCTTAGTAATTAAACCGTTAATCTTTTTTTCCTGATCTTCTGTTAATTTAGGAAAGTTAACTTTGCCTAAATAATTATTTATATCTGTAATTTGAATATTAGTACCCTTATATAATTTTTGATAGTATTCTAAAAAAGATTTCTTAATCAATTCTTTCTGATAAACCAATTTACCATTATAATTTATTTTATCTATATTCCTCTGTTTCTGTTTTTTTCTTAACTGATAAGCCAACCATCTCCCTGGTTTATTAGCATTACAAAATGTATTTTGTTTCATAAATAGCAAATTAGTTGCAACTTGATCAGCCATCAGCATGTTAAATTGTGTTTTTAACAATTTTAAAGCTCCTTTAACCTTTTCATCTAAGGGATTTGAAATTAAAAGTTTCTCTTTTAATTTAATCTCCTCTTCCAAGTCTTTCCGTTTCTGAGTCTGTTTCTGTCTATGCAAATTATTCATTTTTATCAAAATACCACGCATAAAAGCTTTACTTGCATCCCAGACCATTGAGATTGATGTTCCCTTGTTCATATTTAAAGTAAAATATTCCTTTAAACATTCCTTTAATTTATGAACATTTTTTTCTTGTTTAAATAAATTCTCATTCACCCTCCAGGATCTCCTATCTTCCTTCTCTACAAACAGTTCCATCCAAACTGGACTATGATCGGACAATGTCCTAGGAAAAATTTTTACATTCTTCACCCTGTTGTATAAATCTGTTGTGATCAAAAAGAAATCAATTCTTGAGAAAGATTGGTGTCTATCTGAGAAAAACGTAAAATCCTTTTCTTCTTGATTACGTTCACGCCAATAGTCTCTCAATTCCCAATCTTCTTTCATATCAAAAAAGGCTTTAGGTAATTTAGCCTGTTTAAAAAAGGTAGAAGAGCCTTTTTTGTCCATTTGTATATCTAAGACACCATTCCAGTCTCCCATTAAAATCACAGATCTATAGTCCAACAAAGTTATTTTCTGATGTAGTAACCTATAAAATTGCTCCTGTTGCTGGTTTGGTGCATACAACCCCACAATAAGAATTTTCTTGCCATATAAACCAAGTTCAAGCATAACATATCTTCCGTAAGGATCTGATTCTAACAAGGTAGCAGATAAATTCTGTTTAACATAGATTACCACACCCCCTTTCTTCCCAGGGGCGGGAGATACAAAATGAGATCCCAAGCGAGGATTATTTAAATATTTTTGATCTTTAGCTGTAATATGAGTTTCTTGCAAGCAAATAATATCATTGTGAAGTTGTGTATTATTTAAAGGTCATGTATGAAAGTTTTACATTTCAACAACCCAATACACAAATGTTATGAAAAATGTACAAGACTCATAAATAATATAAATATGCTCAAATGTTATACATTTTGAGGTAGGAAATAAAGCTCCAGCACAGAATCTCTTTTGCAATCATAATAATTTGTTAATGTAACAAATATATATCAAGGTTTCCCTGTGGTCAAAATACCATGGAGTAGCCACCATGTGTTGCTCTGAAATTGTTTGCTCCTTTTCAATTATTGTCTTCTTACCAAATTTTCTACTTCTCTGTGCAGATATCCAGATTTAAAAATTTGTTCCTAGTGCTTATAAAAGGATTCCCCTCTGCCCTATCCCACCCCACAAATTAATAAAATAAAAGGATGAGAAATTATGGAAGAATAAGGCCACTTTATATAGTACTATTTGAAGTAGAGAATCAGATGGTTCTGCACCCAAAATTTACCACTTTGGAATTGAACGTTAAACTTTAGCTCTAGAATAAGACATCCCCATTGCTCTACAAGATTTGCTAAGCTTAACTAGGGCAGTGCAGGCGAAGTGGGCATATAGTCAGCTCTGTATTCAGTACCTCATACCATCGTCTACCGCCACTCAAGACCTTGTAATAGAATCACAAAGAGCTGAAATGAAACTTAAATGAAAATTTGGGGCAGTTCTAACCAAGTCTGATTTAAGTACTTGTCTGGTGATCCAGGCCAAACAGAGGATTTCCCTGGTTATTCTGGTAGCAATCATTTGGGCTGGTGTTTGAAACAACTTTGCAATAATTAATTTTTAAAAATATCTCTACTAGCTGGATTAGAGTCAGAACTGCTGTGGATGAGATTAAGGAAGATTCAACTCATCCTACGCATTCCTCTGCTGATTTTAGATTCTGTGGTGGAAAATAGAAAGAAAAGAGACAAAGCAACTAGAGGACACCCATTTTTATGGATACCGTAGCTTCCTGTTTCTGTGCCAGAAATTGGAAGAGAGAGCTAATCTCCACATAACTGTGCCCTCTGGGTCTATTCATGAGGAACCATAGATAGTGATCTTAGCCAATGATAAAACTTAGGCATTGGACAGGTAAATGACCCCATAACCTAGACATGCCTGGGTTTTCAGATTCAGAGATATGCTTGCCATTGACTTAAATATGCTTAAAATGTTGTATGAATGCTGCTTCTATGTATTTTACAGGATTGCCAGTTATCAGCTATTTATGCTGTTGATTCAATAAAGTAATTTTTGACATTTTAAGGTTGTATAATAGAAATCAGTCTTCTTATTAATTCTACTTTATAGCATGTGGGCTATTCTCTACTCAGCATTTATGAAGCAGAGGATTTGTGACCCAAGTATGACGTGAAAACTTGTTTACATAGTGTCCTCTTCACCTGGATATTTGAACGATCCTCAGAGAATTAATGTGTTACATATACAGGATTGGAGAATGGTAGTAATAGCGTCATAGCTTACTCTCACCTGGAAAAATTCAGAAAATGGATTTGTTCCCATTCAAGGACGCATCTCATTCCAACATTAGGGTGAGAAGTAAACACACTCCTTTTCAAGTCACAGACACTGGAGCTGATTGAAATCTCCATCAAGGTTTTTGCTGCTGGCTGAGATCCAGAATCCATTTTCAGTCAGAGAAAATAAAAAGAGGAATACCTTCATTGCTAAACTGCTGCCTTTACATCCAGGAAATGCAATAACTGCTTAAAAGGGAAAGCCTAAAATGCAAGGAAGAGCCCTGGCGAAAAAAGAGCTGCTTCATTCAACAGATTCATATTTGCATTAAAATGTTATAAGGTGATAACTGTTTAACTAATTTCTTTTAAGTGTCTATTAAAATACAGGAGTGGATGCTACCTGTATGAATGCTACATTCATTGTCCTGCTAGGATACCAGATAGAAACCAGGTTGGGAGATAAACAGCTCAAAGTATCTGGTGTAGGAAGAGGACAGGGAAGCTAGTCTGGATGGGTTAGAGAAGTGTTTCTCATTCTTAGCCACTTTAAGATGTGTGAACTTCGACTATCCAGAATTCCCCAGCAAGCAGAATCCTGGGAATTGAAGTCCACACATCTTAAATTTGCTGGGATTGAGAAATACTGGGTTAGAATTTTGTTCTTCCCCTCTATTTGATAGTCAAAAGCCATGTGGGTTTAAACAAAAATTGAATACAAGAATGCCAGATGATCTCTATGTGGCTTGGGGGCTCTATCAAACAGTATTTCTCCTCATCTCCAGTTCCCACATGTAGCAGCAAACTGCAAACAATGAACTCCAAGAAGCACTTCCTTATGACAGGATGGCTAGTACTAAACTGCAAGCTGATTGGAAACCAAAAGAGTATTCTTTAAAATCTATCTGTGAAATATGGATTATTTTCCTCTGGTTCTTTTCTGTCATTAGATTCTGCTAATGATCATGGATTCTGTTCCCCCCCCCCCATCCCTTTTTTACTGCCAACAACTATAGAATATTGGTAGAGGTGCCAACATGCTATTTTGACACATACATAGATGGCTCTTGTCACATACACAAATTTCTCACTTTTGCTATTGTATTCAAAAGGCAAAATTATTGGACAAACACTTGATAAAGCAGCCCACAATCAACATTATTTGCATGTTGGTAAGTTCCAAACTTGTGCAGGTCTACTTAAGGATTTAGCATAACTAACTTGCAGAGTCATATTATTCAGAATGGAAAGCCTCAGTGTGATAAATCCATTTTATTCCATCTCTTATATATAAGTGTGCTGTTTCTGAAGTCAGCGAGGAGAAAAACAAATGCTTTTCTCTCCCAGTTTTGCTTTAATAAACCAGCTAAATTTCACCAAATCCCACGGGAATCATCCAAGAAATATTCTCTTTACAGATTAATAAGGTTAGTACATAAATCTTGGGTCAACTCATGCTTAATAACCATGAAGATTGTTTGGGAATCAAGATCAATTAGAGTCCAGCTGGTAATCCTGTGCAGATTAGAACTACATCAATGAAAATTAAGCTGCAATATTTATTTACAAGTGCATGATTGGATAAAAGATTTAAAGAATTGCCAAGTATATGCAGTCAGAAGAAAAGCAGTAGCAAAAATAAATCAAATTCAAGGGCTAATGTTCACAATGCTACACCAGCCTTCCCCAACATGGTGCTCTCCAATTTTTTTAAAACAAAACTACAGTTCTGGTAGCATTTAGTAAGCTATTGTTTCAATACATGTAGGGGATGGCAGGTTTCAATTTGCCTTATTCAGATATTCTAAAATTCAGAGTGCTCACCGTGTCTGCACTTCAAAGAAGTCTGGTCCCCTCCTTTCCAATATCTCTTGTGGGACATCAGCCTCCTGGAAATATTTGCACATTGAATATGACTGTCTGCAGAAGGAACAGCTTGCCCATGAACCAGGACTCTGATAAGGCAAAGTCATACTGGGTTTGCAAGAGAAGTATTCAAGATATGCTTGTTGTGAGCATATAGTCCAAATATGTAATGTAGCGTGGAAACTTGGAATTCTTGTACACTAAGTATTATAGCACCAATAGCAGCTTCCTAGTAGCTAGGAGCAGAACTAAATTATCTAGCTTTGTTGTATCATTAACTTCATATGTGGTTAATACAAGGTTAATATATGAATATTCTTGTGTTCTCTGTGCCAAATTCCATTTGCTATTTCTTATACACCTGCATGCATTAAAAGTATAGATTAGATGTGTCCAGCCCATGGCCCCCAATAATTAACATTCTTATGTAAATTTGACATTATAAAACTATATTATATATTTTATATGGAGCCCAAGATAATTCCTCTTCACTCAATGCAGCCCAGGCAAGCCAAAAGGTTGGACACCCATATTTTAGATGAAAAACTGCTTCACAAACATACAGGTACAGGACTGATGCAAGAGGTACCACCTGCAACAAGGGTGCTCTTTTTTTTTTTTTTGCACCAGGATAGATTACTTTGCCAATTAACACCTTGCTTCAGAGCAAGACATCCAGGAGTAAATAATCAGGATCCACCAAGGTTGTAGAGCAACCAAACTTGGCCCTTTTATGACTTGTAAACTTCAACTCCCAGAATTTCTCAACCAGGCATGTTGGCTGAAGAATTCTGGGAGTTGGTCCACAAGTCATAAAAGGGCCAAGTTTGAAGACCCCTGTTGTAGAGCATAGAGACTACTGTATGTATGGGGTCTCTGAAGCAGACAGAAAGAGAGGCACACAAACCTCAGAACAAGGCAATCTGCTCTCCCATTATATTTGCAGCACCACCGAACAAAATTGAAACATCTTCCATTGTTTTTAGGCTTAGGACACCTTACGTGACAGGATGTGGCATTTGTACCATTCTGAGGCTGGCAGCCAAGTACCTACAGCAATTAGAAAAATTTGTCTGATGGCTACCCTTTCAGGTGGAGATTTAGCCCTGCATTTATTCTGTGTATTTAAAGTCTGTGCAGAATATCAGTTATTTTCTTTTCTTTCTTTTTTTTTTAACTCCTTCAGGTTAACTTTTTATTTTTTACTCATGGAAAACCTGGGAGATAGGCTACACTGAAAAACAAAGCTACCTATGGTGTTCTACCCAAGCTCTTTCTTTCTTTACCCATTTCTTTCACTGCAACCCGTTAATCTTTATCCGTATTCTCTTGGTCTACTAACTTGTCATCTTGTATTATAACAACTTTCTAGGTATCCCAATAGCTTCCACATATTATTATTAATAGGATAATAATATCACATCATTTTTTATTTATTTAGGTTGGCAGTGAGCAATGATTTATACAGGCTCACTCAGCTTGTGATCTACCAAAATCACAGTCCACCAAAGCCACTTTTAATGGCTTACAAAATCAGTTCAGCCATCTTTTGTTCTCAGGTGACTAACCAAAGTAGCTATTTAATGCTTTACCAAAAAGGAAATTCAATTTATTTTCTTTCTAGTCCCATATGTATATCTATAAATTGTATCTAGTTCTCCTTAATATTCTCCTTTATTTGTATCTTTATTTGTGTTAATTTCTAGTTCTAGATATGCAAATTTAAACTCAGAAATAATTAAATTGTAGATCTGCTTAGTCAGTTGCCCAGATGCTAATTGTAGAAGGCAACTCTAAAAGTCAGAATTTAAAATCTCCATTTTTTTTATTTTTAAGACACATTTAACTGGGAGATTGAAATACTGAAATATCCTCTGAAAAATAATTTCTCATAGATTATGAAGTATATGCTTTCAGTTACTATTCCTTCAACCCTAAATCTCAATATTTATACTCTATTTTTAGCTCTCTATATGCAGATCATATACTACTATTAACAGTAATTTTAATGATTTCCACAAAAATCTATATTCTGCAAAGAAAACTAACCCCAAAGCATGCCATAAAAGTTCTTAAATGTAAAGAATTCTAGTAATTCCTACAATTTGGGAGAATACATAAACTAGAACTATGCTATTTTCTAATTTTAATACTTGCTAAAAAATAATAAGACATAATGAAACAAAGTACCTAAACCACTATATCAAACATTCATGTTCAAGCTGCTTGCCATCTTCTAAACCAGAGAAATGGATCTGTTCTAGGCCCTAATCTGTTCCTAATCTTGTTTAATAGATCAGGTGATGTTACAGAGAGGATTTAACCAGAAAATATTAGCAATATCCATTTCTCTGAATAGGGACAAACAGGGACCATCCTGGCAGAAGGATTAGTAAAATCTGTATCTGCCAGCTTCGTTTATATCTTCCATTTTTTAATGGAGAGAGAGAAAAAAGAAAAGATGCAAGTGAAACAAAATGGGACAGTAACAAAGGAACAGAATTCTGGAAGGGCTTTTCTGCTTGAGCACTGCAGACCAGGCAGTCCACTTGGCAAGCAGAGTCAGATCCATTGATTGGATCCTAGAGGTTGTTTGGCTTTTACAAAGTTTGTATTCCAGGACATCAAAACCAGGAAATTTAATTCCTATTTTATTCAAATTATTGCATATTAGTTATGTTCTCTCACCCTCTCAAGTACTGAAATTACTATACTGAATGTGCTTATGTTCCCAAGCTTGCCTCTTTAAATCTTCCACTTGTGCTCTCAATAACTATTAAGTAGGATATTTCACTAAACTAAACTAAAATTATACATTTCCCTTTGCCCCCTCCCAACTCCCAACTCCTCAAAAGCTTAACAAATATTGATAGTCTTTCTCAAGCTAACTTATCTATTGGTCACACTTTATTCTGTCTCAGCCTTGAAGAATGTAGCTTTCAGCATTGACCTTACCACTAAATACATCAGGGAATAAATAATGTTCCACTGGAGCTCTCTGATCGAGGACAAACTTGATCAGCATGCAAGTTTTGGTTGACCAGTTTTACCTGAATTTCTCCAGTAGCTTTATTTCTATCTCAGTAAAAATGATAGTCGTGGTCCACAGTGCTTAAACAATAAGTATAGGTAGTCCTTGACAAACCACCTTTCGTTTAGTGACTGTTTGAAGTTACAACAGCACTGAAAAAAGTGACTTATGATTGTTTTTCATACTTACAACCATTGCGGCATTCCCATGGTTACAAACTAAAAATTTGGATGCTTGGCAACTGGCTCACATTTATGACAGTGGCAGTGTCCCAGGTGATCCCCTTTTGTGATCTTCTGACAAGCAAAGTCAATGGGGAAACCAGATTCACAACTTTGTTACTACTTAATAATTGCAGTAACAATTGCGGCAAGAAAGATCAGGGCAAAACTTTAACAAATGTTTTGCTTAGCAACAAAAATTATGGGCTCAATTATGATCATAAGTCAAGGACTATCTGTAGATAGATACCAGCTGCCCAGAGTCACTCAGCTACTTTTTTCCAGAAGGCCCAGGACAGGATTCAGGTCTTTTAGAACAATAGGATTGTTACCGACTGAAGATGCCTTATAATGATTTTGGACCAAAGAACAAATGAGAAGTTTTGGTTTGTTTGCCTTCTATTCAAAACTGTTCTTACCTTTTTGCTATTTATAATTAGTTGCTACTCAGATCTTTGCGTTTAACAAGATATTTTGCTTAGTCTAATATAGCACGTCTGTAGGAGATGACCAGGCTGAGCCTAAGGGAGGGGTCAAATGCATCATCTGTTGACCTTTACCTACCACGAGTTTGTTTTGAGTGATATAAGTTCAGATTCTTTCAGAGAGCATTAGTTACAAATATTCATTTGAACTGCTTGGGTTCCTGATTTCCTGCGGTTGACAACATCCTAACTTGGAGCTTTCAGATTTATTGTATCTCAAGCCTCATAATTCCCAAACAAAATAACTAATGACCATTGGAAATGAAGTTATTACCAGCAGAGATTCAAGTTAGGGAATGCTACTTACAAAATTAGGGAGCGCAGGATAAAATTATTCATACTTCATGCAATTAAGGTTTCAGTTTTCAATTCTGGACTTCCTCCACTTGGAAGAGGCCTCAGGTTAAAAAAGGCATCTTATTTTGGTCAGAATAAACAGCCCTAAGACAGATGAACCAAGGTCCTGGCAGTATAAGGTAGGTCCTTAATCATCTTCTAGGCAGAATTCTCCAACTCTGTCAAGCAGAAGCAGTCAGTCTCAAGGGTTGGGTTACACTTATTTTATGCTTTCACCTTGCCTGCTGGACTCCAAATCAGCAATTCCAATGCTTGGACCTGGCACAAATTACCCCTATTTTAGGTTTTAGATCCAATATCAAGGTGGAAATTACTATATCAAAGAAGCCAAGTCATCATGCAATCTTAAGGGAAACTAGTTATTGTTCTCCAACTCCCCAGTGTCTTATTGCTTGCAGCTGTAAACCACTTCTTCCTGCATGCACTTCTGACATTCCACATAGCAGCACCATTGCACCTGGCAATGGCAAGAGAAGGTAACAATGTGGGTCTGGATATTGTAACCCCGGCCACAGCACATACTGTCACAGTTAGCCTCACGGGAACACGTCCTTCCAGCCGTGCCCACTGAATACCTACTAGATCGGCAGAAGCTAGGAGAATCTTCCATATAAACAAGATCGGTGGGGCGTGGAACAGTAGGACCTTTAGCTAAGCGGCCATGATGCTGGGGGCTCACAAGCTCTGATTGTCCCATAGCATCATTGGTGGCGCTGAAGACCTTGACAGCACCATCGTAGCGTAGCTTCAGGAGCTTCCCTGTCTCATGGAAAGGAGATAACTGTTTCCAGCAAGTTCTCACAGCGCATGAACCAGACACACCATGGCACTTGCAAGTGGTCTTGAGGCCATTTTTCACAGCCTGTGGAAGAGAAAGGAAAATATTATTAGCCAGGTTACAGAGTTATTAGTGAGTAGTTAGAAAAAGTTGAAAGAAATCAGAAAATTTATAAAGCAGGATCATCCATTCAAATAGATTTCACCATTCAGGTAATGACTTCTCCAAATAATTCACCAATGAATCCAGGAACACTCCTTGTTTAAGTCCATTTCAGTCAAAGTTACCTTATTTACTGAGTAACTTTGGCTCAGTCGTGCTTTCTACTTGCCTACTTGCCTCACAGAACTGTTACTATATGTATAAATTGAAGAGAGGGCCCTCCCATAAGATACCTTGAGCCCTGCAGGAAAAACACAATGGAAATCTAACACTTTAATAAACAAATTTATATTCGTAAATAAGACAAAGAAAATCAACTTACAGTACATCTTAAAGACCAAGCAGTTATTACAACCTAAGCTTTTGTAAAATATAGCCCACAGTCCTTGTATCCAATTGTACCAATTATATTGTTCAAATTTAACTTCTGCAAGTATAAGAAATGCATACTGATTAACCAAAACAGTTCAGCAATTTCACATTGGAATCTTCTTTTGGACACTATCAAAATCTAGAATTTCAAATAGATATAAACCCAGACTGTGCCTGAAAATACTTTTATGGGTCTCAGCACAAGAAGCATTTTAGAGTAGACAAAGAAAAATTAATTAAATTTATCAATAGTTGCTAGAAAATATAAGATGAAATCAGGGAAACAACTGGTTACTGAAGGATTTAGTTTTCAATAGGTTTTTTTGTATGCACAGTTAAGAGAAAGAGATTAAGGTAGTTACAATTGAGCAACAGAGGAAATTGAAATTGAATTATGTACAAATGGTGAATATTTAATTGCCAAAATGCATAAATTCTTGCTGAAATTCATAGAAATGAACAAATGAAATAATGTATGATAAAAATTGGCTAAGAATTTTAGATAGAATATATTGTTGAAACAGTGAGAAAACATGTGGCTGAAAGGACTGAAATTCAAATTTTGTAATAATCTAAAAAAGAATATTTATAAAATGATGTGCCTTTGATATATGACTCTAGAAAAATTGTCTAGAATGCATAAAACTATTTCAAATTTATATTGCAAATGTGGACAACATGAAGGTTCATTTTACCCTGCTTGATGGTTTTGGGGGAAAATTCTCTTAATTGTTTCACTTAATCAAAATTTGGGGCTCAATTGTGATCATAAGATGAGGACCACCTTTAACCACATCATTGTGACTGCTTGCTTCCTCGTTATTTTAGATTACAATACCGCACACGTATGATAATGATAGCCCACTGAATCAGTGTGTGTGAGATTTCCGAGGATTGTACTGACTGTGGCATTTAAATGTGTATCATTTATCAGAGAATCAGATTTGCATACAAAGACAATATTTCTGAACAAAGTGGTGTTTTTTCCTTTAGGAAAAAATAAGGGAAGTACCTCTTTAAAAATGCTTGTTGCAGAGTTGCAGCTTTTTAAAAAAATGTTTTACATTCTTTCTGAATGTCCATCCAGTTCAAGTCAATTTTAAAAATCAAGATACAGTGAGGTGGAAGGAGCAATTATGGTCCATGTAATCCAATTTATCTGGAGGATGCCAACTGACAAAAATCTGCTGTAAGACCTGTATATTTATCCTCTCTATTTGTTAAGCTCTACCTATGCAAGCTTTTAAGGATTTCCAAATATTGTTTGTGCTTTTCTGACCCAATATTTGCATTAGGATTGTCAATTTAGGATTTTGTAAAGATGTGTAGTCAGAAGGTAGCCTCAGAATCAACAGGGAGAAAAAAAAAGAGATCCATCTCATTAAAAATGCTTGCTTTATTCTACCCTGTTGCATAATCACTTGTATAATGTCACTGTGGAAACCACTGTTTTGACCATATGCTGCCAAGAAAGATACAGATCTGGTATTTCAGAGTTCAGTTAATCTCTCTTTCTCTCTCTCTCTCCTCAACTAATCCTGCAGCAAATTCACCCTTACCTTGATGCCCACGTTTGTGTTATGGATATCCACCTTAGCTCTCAGATCTTTCCCAACCTTTTTCTGGCCCAGGAAATTCTTCAGGAACCTGATGCTATACTTGAGGTTGTCACCACACACACCCCACTGCCAGGCTTTGCGGTTCTCTAAGTCAGGTGAATCGTCACAGGTACAGCGTTCCATTCGCCCAGCACTGCATGCTCGAGCAAGGGACTGAGTTAATGCTGCTGAAGACACTGCATAGAGAAACGCTGTTTCCTTGAAACCTAGGAAAACAAAGCCAAGCAGGAGTGAGGAGAACATTTATTCATAAGAATTGAATAAATCTAAGCCGGAAGTGGGGATACGGACAAGAAGCCCTTATAGTATTTACATGCTTCAACCAGACATCTGGTAGAAGTTCTGCAGTTGTGCTACTGTAGGAGTTTAAGGTTTTCATGGGCTCCCTCCTATAAGAAAGGTAAATCCTATTGGGGTCCTTAGTTCTTGAAACCAAGTTATTGTTTTGTCTGTTAGAAAGTTATTTAATTAAATCAAGGTAAGCTGAAGTCTTTCTTCATGCCTTTGGGTTAGTCTTGACTTCTGATGCTACATAGATAAGTCCCTACAGTTTTCTTGGCAATTTTTTTTTCAGAAGTGCTTCTCATTCCCTTTCTCCTAAGGATAAACCAGAGTGCCTAGCCTAAAGTCAGAGTGTCTGTGTCTAAGCCAGGCAGCCAGCCCTGGCAACATTAATACTTGTGAGAGTCCACAAGCCTTAATGTTGCCAAGGCTGGACACCCATGGTTTAATCTAACACCTTAATCAATGCACCAGACTGACATTCTAAGTAGAATCTTACCATTGATTAATATCTTGAAACTAAAGTGAACATTGGAAATGTTTTTCCTTAATTTTTTTTTTTGAGAAGGCACATTCTTTTATTAACACTTAGTTTGAAGTATTGCTTTGCTATCCTCCTTTTTTTTTAAAAAAATCTTGCTACATAATCCTATGCACATGTATTCTGAGAAGTATCACTCAGCTAGATTTATTGCAAAGTAAAGGTGTATAGGATTGGAATCTTAGACTACTAGCTTTTGTGAAATATTTTTAAAAATCACATTCTATTGCTTTGCAAACAACTTTGAACAATGGAAAATGGTATAAAATGTTTAATACAAATAAAATGTGCTTGGGTTTCAGTATACTTTTAGGATCAAAGCATACCTGAGTGCAAACATTGGAATATCTTTACATTTAACAAGTGATCTGGAAAAAGAAGTGAGCAGGAATTCCATGCAGACAACTCCACAGGCTGGTGAAGAGAAGTAGTTTATTCTGTTCCTTCCCCACTAGTATGAACTAGTTCCTATAATAATTGCACCCAGGAAGGAAGAACACTTTCCTAAAAGCCTAGAGAATATCACAAGCTAGAGGAAGTTATCCAGCCTACTAAAACTCGAATAGCCTAGTGCTTATATTTTGGACCTAGAGAATTCTGCATTCAAAATTGAAAAAGAGGAAACCAAGTTAATTAAAAACGGCAGCCTATAGCTTCTGGGGGTTTGTTGACAAGATTAAATTATCTCTCCTATGATGCCTTTTTTCCTAGCTTCTAATTATGACTGAAGGAATTGAACAGCTCAAAGAGAAAGAAGCAAGGTGGAGAAGTTTCTGGTGTTTTGGGGTTTCAGAAGCTGATGGAACAGATGTTCCTGTTTACCTCTTTTCAACAGGTTCGCCCTCCCATCGAGGCTGCAGTTCCAACGCTCATTGCGGAACTGGTACTGGCACTCGAGGACGCCAAGCCGAATGGCATCCCGTAAAGTCTCGGCCAGCCCTGGCTCCCGACGACAAAGCCTCTTTTGCTTCTGGGAAAGCCTCAGCAGGTCACATTGCTTCAAGTGAGCCTTCCAATGGGCAGGATTTGTTGAAGATCCCAGCAGTGGAAACTGAGTCAAGGTTTCTTTTCCGGTCAGACTAAGAGAAAGAGAAGTAAATCTTGGCTTGGCTTGGCTTGATAAACCAGAGAATGCATTATTGCCAAAATAATCGATATGATGCCCATCTCAGTTACCCATCCCATGTAGGCTTAGGGCTGAGTTAAATGTAGAGCAATGAAGTGGTTATACAGTTGATGAGTGGTGGGAGAAGGTGTGAAGCTCTTCTACTGAAAATCCTACATCTTAAGACAAAGCAAAAGAAGCAGAAAAGCTCTGTCTATGGATTAATAGTGATGCACCTTGGAGCCTCACCTGTAGGAAAGAAAAAAGCTTGGCAAGATTTCAAGTGAGATGATCAAACAAATTTGGGGGTTGAATGCTCACTTCCATTTGTTTTTTCTATTAAAACAATTTGCTGCAATATAAATAACTACAGGAAGATAAAATAAAAAGAACCAAGCGGCTACACTCTAAAGCAGTGGTTCTCAACCTGTGGGTCAGGACCCCATCTGGGGTCAAACGACCATTTCACGCAGTCCGCCATTTTTCCCCCTTTTCCTTAGCTGTGCTACTCCCTTTTATTCTATTGGCTTTCAACAGCCAATAGGAATTGTCCAGACTGTCTCTGCCCTGCTGAGCCCACCAAAAGTCCCATTCTGCAAACAGTGCTGCACCAGTTGAGTAATCCTCGACTTACGACCGGTTGAGTAGTCCTCGACTTACGACCGGTTGGGGGGTCGCGGCATTAAAAAGGTTGAGAACCACTGCTCTAAAGGAAGTTCTAAACTCTTATTAGAAACTTCTGAGGTCAAGTCTGCAGTTAAAGATGTCTCCAAATACCAAGCTCTGGAAAGACATGAAAGCACAGTGTAGCATCCTGGGTTTTCCCATAACCCTAGGAATGCAAAGCAGGTTAAAGGAGGCAAACAGATGACCAACCTCTAGTAGATATGCCTTTTAAAAACTTTATTTACTTTACTTACTCTTTAATTTTTTACTTGAAGTACAAATAATCTACTACTTACATTTTGATGCAGAGAAGATGGCTTCCCTTTCTTTATGGTCAAAATTCAAATACATTTAAGGAAGGTTTGTCTTAAGAACTGGTTTTGGTAAAAGAAAATTTTGAACAGGGAACAAATGTTGGGATGGATTTTAGAACTGTTTTCCTTTAGCTAGTGCTCTCTATAGCTATTAGACAAAGTCTCCAATTATTCCTCATTGGAATGACCATCAGCTATTGAAGGTGATAGGAATTATATCTAGTACTTGCACTAGTTAGAAAAAAGAAAAAAGGAAAACTAAAACTAAACCATATACTGTAGAGGTGTCTCTTTCATAGAAGAATAATTCTGAGGAGTTGAAGACCGCATAATTTAAAGCTGCTAAGGCTGAAAAACACTGATTTAGATGAATTACAAAAACTACACTTTTATTTACTTCCATTAAACTAGATTCGGTCAGAAATAGCAGAGATCACGTTCTTTAACTGGATTTCTGAGGGGGATGCATTGGAAGATTTCACATGATACAAAAAGTTCCAAAATCCACAAACATTTAGCCTGAACTTGAATAAGTTAATCATTTCAAAGGCTGCCCCTTTGCTATACTGTAACCATATACTTAAAATCATGTATGTATGTATGTATATATGTGTGTGTGTTTGTGTGTGTATGTTTATATATATGTATGTATGTATATATATATATATATATATATATATATATATATATATATATATATATATATATATATATGTTTATACACACACACATACACATACACACACACACACACACACACACACACACTTTATATGATATCAATATCCTTGGAATTTGTCTTCAGAATTTAGGCATCACCAAAAATCACCGTTAAAGATAGTTTGCTATTACTTTTTTCTTTTGGTGAGGTTTGTTTTTTTTTAATGTGGCATTTCAATCTATCCTACTATCCTGGGATTTGCTCTCACCCTGCTTAGTTTCCAAATCAACCAAGGCTGACTAGTTGGTATGACATTAACTAGACCATATGCATACTACATAAGATCAATAAAATAGAAATAGTATAAGAAATATTTAGATGATATCTTTACAAACTGGAATGGTATCAAGATTATATCATAGTTTCTTTTTATTGGCCAGATTTTAGAGATGAAAGCAAACTGTGAATTAAATCTTAAACTGACTGATCTTACCAGGTTTGGGAAGATAGATCTTTGAACCTAGGCTTATTGGTTCACAATACATTTTTCTAGCATTCTTGATATTATATTTCATTATGATTCTATAATCTTTCTATCTGTTACCACAGATAACAGATTAATTAATATATTACAGAAGGAAAGATTGTCAAGTTAGGGGAATTACATTTTTTCATACAGGATCAAGTGTTCATAGCCTAAGTTGAGAAAGAAAGTTATTGCAATAAATTGCCCAATAAAAGAACAGTGCCCAATAAAATAAACATGACTGTTTTGTTTTTAGAAACAGAAAATTTGGATAGTACTGAAATGTCTTTAGAACTTGCTACTCCTTCTATACCTCAAAGAAATTACCAATATATCAGAGCTAAGAAAATACAACTGAGAATTCAACTTATAATTCGGTGCCAAACACTAAGCCATGTTGCATATTTCTGAGCCATCTCCTCCTACCCCTGCCCCTTAATTCCCCACCCCTCCCCAAATTGAAATGCATCCTTAGGATCTAATGGTTTTATCATTACACATTTTTCCTCCAACAGTGTTGTTTTAATGGGTAGCGAACACTTTACGAGCAGGTGGATTGATTCTGACTCTAAAACAAAATGTAAAGAAAGAGCCAAGTATCTTCTCACTCAGCCCCATTCTCCAGGGTCGCCTATTAGTAGAAGAAAAAAAGGGAGGAAAAACTGCCAGGAAATTGAACATTAATCTCTTGGGTTTTTATTTTATAATTTATCCACCATCTTGGCCATCATCATTGGCCATCATCATCATCATTCCAAACCAATATCTTCCAGTATTGCTCATGCCACTGATGGCTATTGCCCTCAAGATTTTGCCTCTGTTGCCTGTATATAACCCAGTCCTCAGGTCGGGCATTTCCTGAACCTGACCCGAGTTCATTTACAGGACAGGTTGTTCATCAGAACCTGTGATCAATCAAGCATACATATGCCTAGCGCCAGGCAGCCAAAAGGCCTCCAGTCTTGAGAGAGCATGAAAAGGAAGAGATGTTATCACCTACCAAGGGTGGAATTCTCAAACCCTCTCACCCACCCAGAGGTCTTCTTCCAGCCAATGCACGATGTTGGTTAATGATTAAGTAAGTAAATTTCCAAATAACCAACAGAGAACAAAATGGCCGCAGTTTCACCAAGATAAAAGCTGCATCGATGCAGTGCCCACATACCAGCTAAATACTTGCCTTGTTGTAATTTCCTGTGGGCAATTTGAGCTCCAATCGGTTTGGAAATGAACTAGAAGGATCCCAACAGAAGACAGGAACTTCCAAATCATTTGAGGATTAATAATGCATGGAAGGAGCTACTATACAATATAAACTTTCTGTAGCTATCAATTTATAGAATTATTTGGATAATAGTACTTCTCGGATTAGATAAAAACTGTCCTAAGTCCCAAGCTATTGTTATTAGCTGAATTTCCAAGAAGTTATGTTCCTAATGCTTGTTGTAAATTATGAGAAATTTAGTTCAACATAACTATAGGGAATAGGGACAACTGATTTAGACATTAGTCACTGGTTGCTGTATTAAACATTTGTACATTTTTGTGTTGTGCATGAACTACACTTCTTCCTGGACCATGAGGATCTATTCACTTTCACTCATGTCCTGGTTATTTCCAGAATGGATTAACATAATGTACTCTACATGGGGCTGCCCCTGAAGAGCATCTGGAAGCTTTAGCTGCTGAGTGTGGTTGCATGTAGTATGCCTCTTGGATGGAAAACTTACATCTCTGCTCCAGAAACTATATTATGTCAACACAATGACACATTGGTTGTTGATTTGCTTCCAGGTACAATTCAAATTGCTGCAATTACATCTAACCGCCTCATCAGGTCCTGCAGAAGAAATAGATTCCAGATCCAGACTGCTAAAGAGATCTTTCTGGTGGATCCAAGAGGAAATTTTTTTTCTATTGTAGCCTCCACCCTCCAGAACAGTATTCCCTCTGAAATAAAGTTAGCCCCATCTATGTTAGTCTTCTGGAAAGTCTTGGAAATGTGGTTCTTCCATCTACCTTGGGAATCCCATGGTAAGCCTGCAAGGTGGTTGAATGAGGGTAAATGATGGTTGTCCTTCTGCTCTCCTGGGGCTTTTTTATGTTTTATTTTTTGTTGTTATTTCTGTCTGATCTGCTTTATATTGTGATATGGTTTTAATTGTTATTTCTTCTAACCTGGCCAGAGTCACTTTTTGACATGAGTAACTATATAGATTTGCTAAACAAATCAACCAGGGAACCATTAAGCAAGTGACAAGGATAGCAGCTATGCTACTCTACAGTAACAAAGCGAGATCATAGCAAAAATTAAGACAAAAAGAGAAATATGACTAAAGGGCAAGCAAAGACAATAATTGTAACATAATTGTAGAGACATAATTAAACAAATTTGGTTAATGTTAAAATAAAATTGAATGTTTTCAGTACAAAACACATTGAAAATATTTGCCATGGCATTGCTTTTTGAAAATATTAGAAATCATTGATTAATAGAACATTGGCCCTGGTTGGCCTGTCTCTATTTCTTTGATGAAATAGGAGTGATATATAAATGTATGGGCCCCTCCAATACATAGAATGTTGTCCATTGGATCCTGTTATTTAAGTCTAGCCTCCAATACTTTGCCCCAAATTCCTTACTTTAAAAATGCTTTCTAGCTATCTGCCGAGTCTTTTCATCAATAGCTCTCAATTTGTTATCTATCCTCCACTTCACTGTTGGGAGACCCATTCACATACAGCTCAGAGGCCTTAGCTGATGTTTTTAATACTTCCAGATGTGTTGAACTACAACTCCCTTCATCCTCAAGTAGCAGTGTTCCACTGAACATATCAGGTTCATTCTAATTTATCATCCTATGGGACGCTGCTGCCTAAGGATGAAGAGAATTGTAGTTTAACACTTCCAGATAGACCAGACCACATCTCTAGGTAGACTAGACCAAGAATCAACTCCACAGAATGATTAAATTCTTTTATGGAGATTGGTTATAATAACAGAATCTTGCAAGTGTGCTTATACAATCATCTTCCTTCTTCTACTTCAATGAATAAGGGAGTTCACTGAGGCACTTATGTAGGCTGTTTTTTGTAGAATTAAAATGGTTTTCATTCATCACCACTCTAGTAACAGATCTTGCATATTTTTCAAGGTAATCTTCTTTACCCTCTGCATCACCTTCCATGTCAGCCTTAGTTCCTGGCCCCCCATGTGTTCAGAAAACTCTGAGTCAAGGTTATAGAACAAAATGCTGCTCTCCTCCTCTGCTGTCAACTCCTCCAGATCATATAATAAGTCCTGTAATGTAGCCATACCCTGAGACTAGTGCACCAGGGGAGCTCTAAGCTGAAAGCAAGGTCTCTCAACTGCGGTCCCCATCCACTCACTAATGGTTACAAGGCTAAAGAAAAGGAGGCTTAGAAAGCTGTATTCCATCATAGCAGACCAGAGGAGCAAAACAGCAATCAATGGATGCTGAGGAAGTTGAGAGACTCTGAGGGTTTCAGTTTCATTGTGTGCTCAGCCTCCTTGCCCTTCCAGACAATCCAACTGATTGAAGAAGAAAGGGAAAACTAGAAATGGCACTGATGCTAATGACCAAGCAATGATAGGTTCTGGAGCATAAGAGGAGGAGAAAAATGACTCCTTTCTCCATTGGCCCTGCTTATCCACACCACTCCTGTTGGAGCTCATCACAACCAAGTTTCTTGAAGCCATAGGGCAAGGAAAGACCCGGGATGGTAAGTACCTGCAGGCCCCATGGTAGATATCTCCCCTGATTTAACAACTTCTATCCTCTGTTACACAGTGGCCAACTGGATGTGTCTGGAAGCTCACTCCTGTCACTTCCCAGCAACCATTATTTAAGGCAAAGTGTCTATGATTTTGCAGGTAGTATTATTACTCACAAAGAGCCTAATCTTCCTTGAATCTACAGGTTTGCTCTTAAAACTATACAACCTGGATAGTGTTGATAAAGAACATCAACAGGCCCATTCATTAACTTTCAGAAACAGAAAATAGAATCTAGAAATTCCAGCATTTATTTGTGGCTGGTCCCTGCATTGAAAGGCTGGTTATAACAAACAGGAAACTCACTCAAAGTATGTAATAGTTCCCATAAAGAACTGGAGTAAAATGTTTTATCAACTAAAGGAACACAGCTGTTGCAAGATTGCAGCTCCCTTAAGTTGCTTAAGCAACCAAATCCACCTAAAGCAATAATCAATATTTGTTTTGCATTAAGGAAGTGATAGCTGAGAGAAAAAGCATATTACCTCTTGCTTGGGAAAGCAGAGACATGAGCATGCACTTCCTGAAAGAAAAAGCTGACTGAGATCTCATTCTGAAATGTAGGCAGAGACAGACACAGCATCCCAGGAAAGAGATGCTGTGACAAGGGTCTTCTAAATCAACATACTTCAACATGTTAACAGTTCTTGGAATTCCCAGTCAACATTTCAAAGGGTGCAGTCCCAACATACCTGGAAAATGCTAAAAGAATAACGGGGCTGCTGGCTGGGAAATTCTCAAAACTGAAGTTCACACATCTTTAAGCCGCCAAGTTTTAAAATCACTGATATAGAGAGTACCTAGGTTGCTATAAGTTTTGACTAGTACTGTAATAATCATCTCTTGAGAGAAGAGAAGCAGCTACCTTTATAAAATTCTGCATAACGCTGGTATCCTTAGATCAGATCCTGATTTGGTGCTAATTCACTCATCATTTTACTATTCCCATCTTTCTCCAGAACTGATAAGAGGTGCTGAAAACAACTCAAAACTCAAAATCCTCATTCTGAACTTTTAGAATTCAAGACTCAGTACTTTAAAAAAAAAATCATCAGAGCTTTACAAGAGTACATGTATTGGATCCTATCATTCTCAATAATGAAGAGTAAGACTAGCTACTAAGGATCTCTGAAGTACTTTAATCTAGAAATAGGCAGTCTGGTATTCTCCAGATCTTTTACACTACAATTGTCATTAGAATGGTCAATTGTCAGGGATGATGGGATCAGTTTGTCATTCTAAAGTCCTAATCTAATCAGGCAACATTGTGCATTCCATTTCCCCCTCTTTAATAGACTTTTGTGGGGGGGCAGGGGGGAGATGGAAGTAATATGGGAAAAATGCTACATGTGGAAAATACCTATATTTGGGTCATTTAAGTACATAATAAAGCCTTCTGGAACCCAAACTATATTTATGTGAAATCTCTGGCCTATGTACTTATACAATATAGTAAACCACAATGAGGCTTAATGTTCAGCATTATGTGAACTCAACCAATGTGGTTTGTATACAATGGTTTGTGTCTTAATGGATAACTAGAACTCAACAAACTGTAGTTTCCTTAGGAAACCACAATTAAACAAACCATAGTTTAGTGTGCTGCAAGAAGATCAGAAAACTACCTTGACACTATTGCTTCTGCAAGCAAACTCATTTTGCAGTATTTGTAAAAAAAAGCACCTGAATATTTGGGGGAAATTGGATGTAGAGATTGCCAAAATGGAGAAGCATAAAATTAATACAGACTAAAAGAATTTAAACAGACAAAAATACCAACTGCATCATGAGCTGCTCTCAAATTTACAATTAGCAAACTGAACTCTGTTTCTTGGTTTACTAAAATATAGCAACATTTGCATTGTTGAAACTAAGAAGTGAGGCAGAGTTAAGCATTTAAACCAATGAAAAAAATTGTTTATGTTTTGGAAAATGAAGGCTTGAGGTTTGAAAAGTAAAACTGTACATGGACATGCAAACTCAGGTATTATACAAGAATCTTACAGATTAATATCCTTCCATTGCTCATCAAGAGAAATTTGATGTATACAGTATTTTACTGATGTATCTCCTGAGAACTTTTGAAATAATATAATACAATCTTAATCCTTCATAAATAGGTCTCAATAATTAAAACAGTGTTTATCTTTAGGTAAGTGTTTGTATGATTGCAGTCTTGAGCCAGAATGCAAGTTTTTATGCAAATACAATATCTTGAAATTCAAATCTTAAGAGAATTTCAAATACCTGCATCTCAAGGCACACATATATGCATCTCACACTCCTTACAGTAAGGTGCAATTTATGTATAATCCCAAACTCTTGAGATTGTATCATGTCATGGCCTTTAGCTTGTAATGAAGAATAAAAAGGTGTAAAAATGTAAATGTAGACCCAGATTTTAACATGTTTAGGAATCCTCTGAAATTACAAGGAGTTCTAACTAATCACGAGCTGCCCCAATCATTTCAATAGAACTAGAGTCTGTATCACTTTGTAGAATACACTACTTGTTGTATATTTAATCACAAGACTTCTGGTCCTCCCTTCCAATGCTGGAACTCCTAGTAAATACGCATTCAGATCAGCCCAAATGATAGACTTCACAATGTACCAAATTGGTCCTTATTTCAGGGAGTATGTTCAGCAAAAATTTCCCAAACCTGGAAGGCATGGGAGATTTTTCTGCACATCTTGGGGGGGGGACACAATTAAAAGCCAGTTTTAAATGACTTCCCAAATAGAATGAAATACAGAAGTGTCAGAATCTTTAAAGGTTAACATCCATGGATAAGCACAAGTATATTGAGAAATTAATATGAAACCCTTTACTTATTCTCCCCCCATCCCAAAAAAGTTTGCAATGTTTATATGGTCGGGTCTGGCCCCGTGTCTTTTATAAAGCCTCATCCGTTTTCTATCGACTACTACACGCTTTAATCTAGTAAATGCAATCTGCACGAGCTTTGAGCTGGCAGAGGATCTGCTGCAAAGAACGTTTACAGAGAAGGACGTGAAGGATCACCTCCAGCATGTCTAACTGATGCCATTTCCAGCCAGGTTCCCCCGACATTTGAGCTGAGTTAGTGAAGAATTCGCAGGATAATTGTAAAACCGGCGTTGCGCCTGGCTAGCAATTAAGATACAGCAACTTTCTTCAAAGCGTAGATCGCTGCAGAGAAAGAACTGTAATCCCAGGCAGTGTTTAGGATTGCGACTATGTATCCAACCGTTTAGACTGGCTTGTTTGATGAAAGAAAACGAAAGGGAAAGAGATAATGAGAGAGGGATATGAACTATTCAAGATCAACAGGGCAGAAGGGACGGGACAACTTTAGGCGTGTTTTCCCTGTCTCGTCAGAAGTCAGTCGGACACCTGTTAAGGCGTCTTAGCTTCGCCATCTGAAAGCAAAGGGTTAGGGTTAGAGAGCAAAAAAAGTGAGAAGGAAAAAGAAATTATTTGGAAAATGGGGAAAGGTTATGGAAGAAACGCAGGGGGAGATGAAATCCAATCAAAGATAAAGAAAGAAACGGGGATCGCTTAGAATAAAAAGGAGGACAGGAAAAAAAAGAGCAGGAAAGAAAATAGAAAAGCATTACAAAACTAAATTCGTATAAAAGGGGAAGTTGAGGGAAGAGGAAGGCGGGGAGGGGGGGAGAGAACACCTGGATAGGAAAGATGTATATTAAAATTAGATAAGAGACTCCCATGTCCGAAGTCGCGCCAAAAGGAGAAAACGCCGCTGACCCGAAATAGGCGTCCACTTGCAGGAGCAGCAGGCAGTAAGTGGCGGCTGTGGCGACTAGAGAAGAACGCAGAGGCGGCAGTGCGATCTCCCACGGCGGCAGGCGCATGGTGCCAGCTTCTGCTTCTGCGTCGCGACACGCCGCTTCCCTGGCTCGGCATGGCGCTGCGCTCTCAGAGCCCGGCGCTCCCGCATCACTTAAAAAAGGTACCTGGGCGGGCGAGAGACGCCCCCTCTCGGTCCCGCCTCTGAGCCGGAGGGCGAGGGCAAAGGGCCGGTAGAGGTGCGGCTAGCCTCAGGGGCTGAGAGGCGCGCGGATCCCTTGTGGACCCTCGGGCTGGTCCCAACAATTCTCCTGGCCCATGGCCGCATTTGGGTTCAGGGGATGGCTGTCAAACTGCGATCCAAGCGGAGACAAGTACGGAGATGCATCCTTGGTCATTGGGGGTATTTCCGCCACTAGGGTTACCGCATTACAAGGAATTGCGGGCTGCTTGTAACGATTTGAGTTTGTAAACTGCCTTGTTGCCCCTCGCGTGGGAAACAGAAACGATCCCTGCCCCGCAGCACAGAGAGCATTTGAGTTTGCACCATTTACCAAACTACAAACTAGCCAGCCTCGTTGTTACTTCTTGTGTTGTTCAAACCCGGTCAGGTTCTGTTTCAGTTTGTTGTGAGAATCCAGAACATTAAGTGACTGAGCCACCCAGTATCCGAGCTCATTAGGAGGGCAGACGCCCTGGCCAGTCCCAATTTGTTCACTTGAAGTAACTGCTGAACAAGATGCACCAAACAGGACTTTACACTGCACCTCCTCCTACTTTTCCATTTTAACCTTCCATATTTTCCCACTCACACATCATGAAGAAGAGGAAAGTAGACTTTCTCACTAGCTTGTAGGAGCTGATAACTATCCCTCCAAAGGAACTTTTTAAAAAAAACTTTTATTGGTACAGAAGTCAATCTTCTGAATTCAGGATTCCTTTATGGAGTTAGAATATACAATATAGCACTGCAACATCATTGAATAAGCAGGGAAAAAAACCAAGGGCCTTTCCAGGAAAGATTTGTGGCACATGTGTTGTGTGTATACAGTAGATACTGTGTTGTAGCATGCCACTTGTACTCTAATCTTACTGGTACATCCTACTGTATTTTTCTTTTATGCAAATCATAGTAGGGTTGTTGAGCAAGTATGACTTTGCAGCCTTCAGTACTGGAATACATGGCTCCCAGTGCTCTCTATTTTTAATGATGTTTAACATCAACCAATTAAAGGTTTGCCTGATAGCATCTGCCTGTTTACCTACGTATTGTCTTATTCTTGCCATTGTGCATACAGATTTCCATCTTACAAAAGATACATATTGTTCCCTGTATTGGTACCTCTTCTTTGATATCAAAATATTATAGGATAATCTTCAATTGAACAGTGGAAATACTGTTCCTCACATTTAAAAGGAAAGGCTTCTTTATTTGTATGAATATATTTATTTATTTATTTATTTATTTATTTATTTATTTATTTATGAGACTTATATACCGCTTTAAGTGCAAGCACTCTCTAAGCGGTGTACACCAGTAAGCAATGTATATATATATTTACATTGCCCCCAACAATCGGGGTCCTCATTTTACCTACCTCGGAAGGATGGAAGGCTGAGTCAACCTTGAGCCGGTGAGATTTGAACCGCTGACCTGCTGAACACAGTCAGCTAAAGTGGCCTGCAGTACTGCACTCTAACTGCTGCGCCACCTCAGCTCTATATTTACAGCTACTCTTTGACTTACAATCACAAATGGGACCAGAATTTCTATTGCTGAGCAATCCAATTATAAAGTGAGACATCACATGACTTCCCAGCCCTCAATAAGGTAAGGACTGCTTCCAATTCCCTCCACCCACTTATTCCCCTCCCCCAAGCATATCTACCTTTTTGGCTGCCCTCCTGGAGCATGGCAAGCAACCCCAAGGCAGCAAATAACCCCAGAACCACACAGCTCTGGGGTTGCTTGCCCTGCCCCTGGAAGCTACAGGGACCCCAGCCAGTCCCATTTAGCCTTGCCACTCTACATTTCAAAACTCCTACCACTCTGGGCCCCACCATGCCAGCTGATCAGCACCACCTTCTTGCTTCCACTGTGGATAAGGTGTGCTTGGGCTGGGCTGTGGCTGGGTTTTGACTATGAAAAAAAAAAAGGTAAAAGAGGAATGGCACCAAAAATCCCCCTGAACTGTGAAAAGAAAAAGTCGCTGAATGAATCGTCATAAATCAAGGATTAGCTGGGTATTCATTCTCTCACAGGTACTTGTGAAACAGTTGCTCACAAATAACCAGTTTCCTTCAGTAAGCATTTTTAGATACAAGTGATCTAAATGGACACCTTGATTAAGATGGATGCATTTGGCAGCTGAGTGACTGTAATGGCCACAAACATCATTGCAATTTTGAAGATGTTTAATTTATAATCCTATTCCTACCCATTTGAAAAGATCTATTTTCAATAGAACTTATGCCCTAATAATTGGGTACATTATCAGAGTCATGCTGTTGGGAATTTTGAATCTTGTAAACAAAATCTGTTTGAAAGGCAACAAATGTAGGAGAACTATGACAGATATGATTGCAGTTTAAGCAGGTAATCATGATCTAGTTATGTTCACACAAGCACTATTGGAAAAGGTTTAAAAATATATAGTATGTGGAAGCATTGGGGCAGTGTAAGCATGCTGTCCAAAGCATTACTGAGCATGGAAATGCAGAGCTTTGGGGGGAGATGTGGTGGGTATATGTGCAGAGAATCCAGTGTGGGTAATCCAGATCAGGGCAATCTGGCTGACATTCTTTGAATTTAAGGCACCCATTTCTTAGAAAAATAACAAACTGTAGAATAAGAATGTATAGTTTGATTTGTTTCTAAGCCACCTGATAATAGAACTAATTATTAAGATATCAAATTTTGGGAGATTTCATGATTAAGAAAAAGGTTTTGTCCCTTTTTCATAAATATGAACATCTGTTGCCATCTAATGATAGATAATATATGGAGAACAACAAAGAAGTATTAAACAAGATGCATAACTAAAAATGGAATTGTCCAACTTGGATGTTTATATATATATAAATTGATTAGGAAGGGGAAGCTAGTTATGAAGGTGCTATTATTCCTTATTTAGGGGTTTCCTGTGACTTCTGGTTAGGCATGTTTTTTCATTTTTTTGAAGCACAAGCAATTATAACAAGGCTTTCAAGTTCTACAAGCATTGTGCCTAATTAACCTAGTGAACAAGGAAATATTTAAATAATATTACTTCGTGTCAGAAGTTTAATTGATAGTATGTATTTGCATGATCATTTGCATCTCTAATTAAAATCTAAAGGCTATGATTTAGTTTGCTGAACGTCATTAAAGTTCAGTATAAGTATGATACGTATAAGTAGAACATTGAACACAGACATCCATTAAATACCACTGAAGATGCTACCTAGCTTGGTAATGAAATGTTCAGAAACCAACCCACAAGCTCAGAGAAGGAACCTTCACCCTCATCCTACACCCAAGCTACAGATATTTGCCAGTATTGCAAAGTTCAGTATGTTTTTGCAAGATGAATCCATGCAAAAGCAAACTCTTTTGAACTGCACTAATGCACACTCAAGAAGAAAGGGTGGAAGAAACAAATAACAAATTATAATGTTATATATTTTACATTTTTATTTTTATTTAATGATAGCTTTTCTTCAAAAAATTTTTAATGTATTTATCTTTATTATTGCTGTTACATTTGTGAATGTATAAGATATATGGGGTCACGGATCAGCTAAGTTATGTTTTCCAGATTTTATTGAATGTCATAATTGCCTAGGATTATACGTTGCACTAAAGCAGGGCTTTTCAACCTTTTCACCCACTGCACCACTTTTAGGATATGGCAATATCCGAGTATCACCAGTCACCTAGCAAGATGTCAAAAACTTGATGACCAAAAAAAAAAAAAAAGGAAAAAAGTGATAAAGTACAGGTAGTCCTCAACTTACAACAGTTCACTTAGTGATTGTTTGAAGTTACAATGGCACTGAAAAAAGTGCCCCCCAAGGCACAGCCGAGCAAGACACCTGCCTGCCCACACGGCGGTGCTCTCATTCCCCTCCTCCGCTACCACTTTTCTAGGATGGTCGCGTACCTGCCAGGTGCCAATGTACCACAGGTGGTACCTGTACCACTAGTTGAAAAGCCCTGCAGTAAAGCATAAATTATGATTTACACACCACAGCACCTGAGTTCATACATTACCAAACAAACCACATTGCAATTAGATTCATGTATCATAGTAAAACATGACATCTTTGGTTTGGCTTTTCTTATTATGCCGTGTGACTATGATGGCCTTAATATGTTGTACAATGCATTCTCCTTTTTCTGACATGAGTGGATTTCTGGGCACAGCTATAGGAATATCAGAATCATGTCTAGCACTTCCAGAGTAGTGGCAATACGAGTAAAGTTGGATGTCTATGTTTTACAACATACACTTCACCAGAAATTGCTCATCTGAAGGCCAGGGAAGTGTTAAAAGAAATTCAAACATGGTAAAAGTCCTACCTCGACTCCCAGGTCACATGAGCTAAAATGGCTTTATGGGCCAACACTGAAGGAACATTCTGTGTGAGATGAGAGGCATTTGCTTTAAACAATATATTTGATAAAAAAGAAATGAGGAATTTTGGAGATAACAAAAGGAAGTAAATTTATAATTGTATTTAAAATTGCTGTGAAGAAGATTAGAAGCTACCTCTTTGTATCTTTTCCTTTCTTTTCTATTTTTATTTTACTTTTTTCCTTGCTTACACTTTTAGATTTCTCTTAGAATTTTTTCCTTTTGAAAATGTACAATATGATGTATGTTGCAGAACATCACATAAAAGTTGGTGGAATTGGAACTGGCAGCATATTAGAGTAGAAATAGTAATTTACCAAAAAATAGCAGTACCTTAAAATTAAAAAATAAAATCCTTAAGAAAGAGAGATGTTTTTTGAACATTTTTATATTTTTTAAAAAACAAAGAAGAGTGAAAATAAAGGATAATGGTTGAAAGATAAGATATTGTTTATTTTGCTCTCACTCTCTAAAAGAGAGTGTCTAAAAAGAGTGTTCTAGTCTAAAATCTAACATTTCTGTAAAGATTAATAATAG